CGGCAAGAACACAGCAAACCCTAGCGAGATACACCAGGATCACGGAGTAGGAGCAGGAGCAGCAGCCATGCCTCAGCCATGCCGTGATTACGATGAGATCAGGAAGGAATACGAGGATAAACTCTGCAACCCAAGCTACTGCACCTGCAAGTTGTTCGAAGCCCTCGATCAACGCATGTACCACGAGCAAGCGAACCACTTCCCAACACCAGCCAACATCGCACAGCATTTTCTCAAGCAAGATTCCTTCATATACACCCGGGGAGCAGTCAAGGAGTTTTACGAGCCTTTAAACCACCAACTAGACACTCAGCTTGAGGAGATGAAGCAAATCTGCACTGACCTTCGGGACATCAGGAAGATCGTCTCCAAGCAGCGATCAACCCCATCAACAGCTCACGAATTCACCTACAAATTCACATACGAAGAGCTCAACACCTGCTACCAGAAGCTCGAGGATGATCATACCGCCCTCCTAGCTGAGGTAGCTGACCTCCAGGAAGATGGGACAGATCCACCAGACAGTGTCCCCAACCACGAGCTTACACTCCCACAACAAAAACGTCGCCTCTATCAACTGGAGCAGCAGTAGCAACAAGCGATGTAGACTGACTATGTTCACACCGAGGACAGTGTCTAGTTCTATCAGGGGAGCAGAGTGTCTCAACCAAAAACAAAGTTCAGAGGACTCCGACCTTGAACCCAGGGCTGCATCAGAGTCATAGATTAAATCATGCACAACATATAATATATGCTAGCAGTTAGAACCACTAGCTTTTCAAAGGGGGGGAATTTAAATTGTGAATCTTTATCTCCATTCCATCATTTTTCTTATCAATATACAGCATTCTTTTATTCGTGCTTCTTCTTAGCCCTTGGAAATCAGGCCCTTTTCTCTTTTGTTTTTTTACTAACAATAGATTTCCAACGAAGAGGAGTTTTCACACCTCTTCAGCCATATAATGGGATTTTAGTAGCTGTCGGATTGGTTTCAATCTGAACCCCTTGTTCCTGTATATAGATTAGAGTTTTTAGGTTAATTGATATGTATATTTTCTGTATTCCATGCACTCACAATATATGCTTATATATATATATATATATATATATATATACACTTGTTTAATTATACACATTTAATTTTAAATATAAAGCTTGTGCAAATGCAAGTTAAAAGATGTATTTATAACATATCAGAATAAAATGTACTATTTAGACCATATTTAAATCCAACAAGTGATGCTGCTCCAAATTACACTCCAGAATTTTGAATCAGTCTTGGTTCATCAATGCACGTGCGCCTCTATTCAAACAGTATGGCTTTTGTCTTTGAGCAACTATTTGCCAGCCAAGCGAAGCGACCTACTTAATTTACACTAGCACGTTGTATGCCCCTTGCCCCCTTAAGTATCAGGATGAGGATTCCTCAAGCAACATTGCCAGCATTGCCTGCCTGCTCGGGTGCAAAATTGTGCAATGGGCTCCTACATTTCCATCCACAACAACACTCGCGACCCTTACCTTGTGAAGGTAGGCCCTGATACTGCAGCCATTGGTATTGCCACCGTTGTTGTCACTGTATTTGCGGCGGTTGCCACTGTCGTTGCAACCGCTGGAGCCGCTGCACCATTCAGCGCGGCTCTGGTTGCTAATGGAGTCATCGATGTGTTCTTTGTTTCTACTGAGGCCTTGGCGGCCTTCACAGCTGCTGCTGCAAGCATCTCAGGTATATCAATTGCATCCACCGTAACAGGTTGGGCAACCAGCACCGTGCTCTTCATTACTCAAAAGCTTCAGTCCGAAGGGGGTTTTGTGGAAATCTTACCTGGTACGTATATTCAATCAGCCTCATCCGCTTATATCGATCCTCTTGATCTATGCATGCTTGCTGCAGGTGAGAGGAAAACATTTGGAAAGTACAGTCTCTCATTGTGGAGGCAAGCTCAGTGCGTCAGAGTTCGACCCAACCCGGCCAACAGTGAGGAGGTCGTAATGGATACCTTGTACATGAGACCAATCTTCAGCGGAGCAACAGCTGAATCGACCAATGAGCACAGCTTGCAGTACTGGATTGGCAAATGGGGCCATGAAGATGTGCACACTATACGCCTCAGCGAGCAGACCAGACGCGCAATTGGTTAGCAGAGTCGACGGATTATATACATATAATAAGATTCTGCTTTGTGGTTTAAAAATAAAAACAAGTTAATGCATTGTCTTTCATTTTCTATTTCTTATTGTATTTGTCAATGCACATTATTTACCAAATGAGAAAGTTTCCAAAGAATTTGGAGATACTGGAGCTCAGAAACCGAAGAATGCGGATTGAAAGAGCTAACCTGCATCGCAATGGAGGATCTCCTCCAGTCGCGTCACCTTTGCGCGCAGGGGATGCATGGAGGAAGCCAAAAAGACGTTCGATCGACTGCCTCACTTGGAACGCGCTTCTTGCAGCATATGCCCAGAAGAGGCACCTGGACGAGGCTGGGATTGTGTTCCATAAAATGCCGATGCAAGATGCAGTGTCCTGGGGGGCCATGGGTTCAGCTTAGAATCAGATGGGCCTGACCGAAGAAGCCAGGCGATTGTTAAACTGGGTGCCCCAGAGAAGCACGGTTACGTGGACAATCATGCTCGTAGCATATGCCCAAATTTGGCATTTGCAGGAAGCGAAGTTCTTGTTCGATGATAAGGATGTGGTTTCCTGGACTGGACTGCTCTTCTGGCATATATTGAATCCCAATGTGAGATATTGCTGCTATGCTGATTCACGGTGTGCGTGCTGGGTGTGCACAGAATGGCTGCATCTCACAGGAAAAGAAAAAAGTTCGATTTAATCCCAGAGAAGCATACCTCACATAATTCTGAACTGTAGTTGTTCTTTTTTAGCGGCTCAGTTAGTTAGCAGTGGGGAAGTTCAAGTATATTGCAAGCAATGTTTCTGCCGACTGAGTCTTGTCCTCCATTGGCAGAGAGTATAACATTGAGTAACTCTTAAAGTGCCGACTGGAAGAAGAGCATTGAAGAGACAAAATAGAAATCAACTTATCATTCCACACTTCTCTTTCGGCACAACATTGCAGCTATTCGAGACACACGACCGTCAGTAGAGGTTTGAACATTCTCTGCCAGCTTGTTCATTGCTATCCGTGCTAGTTGCTCCTTCTTCTCAGTTCCCATGCCGCTAAGCAAGGCGACCCTATGCCCGTCCCAATATCCCAGATTAGGTCCCCTATCCTTGACAAGCGTGCTGCCTTAGGCGGACACTCTTTGGTTGTATATGCAACCACACATACCATGGTTCCTGGAACACGTCTGGTTTGTCGACGAGGACCGTCGTGGTTAGAGCAAAAGGATTTGCTCGGAGGTGTGCAACAAGCCCTTCCAAGACGAGTAAGACCAAGTGGTGCTCCTGTGCAGCAGAATTATTAAAGGATGGCATTACACAGTAGAGGTGAGCTTTTGGTTGGGCGAGTTCTCTTCTCTTAATTGACAGTGTCAAAATGGTGCACAGGATTCATGGACGAGGCGGGAGCACCCGTTGCAAAACGGCAGGTAACAAAATGGCTGTGGAAAGTGTTACCTTTCTTGTCATGCAGGAGTCCTAAGAGGGAGTTTATGGTGGCGAAGCGACCACTGATCTAGTTCGCAAGTTTACAGGTGGGTATCTTTTCTTCTATCACGGCTGGCTGTGTAGGATCGGTACGCTTGTTTTCTAACACCAACTTAACGCTCACTGAAAGCTTGGAATCCTTTTTGTAAAAGGTTTGGTCGATCGTTTTCTATAATAATCATAATTGCTAAGGTCTTGATGTAGGGTAAGATGAGAAGGGTGCTATTGCTGTTAGCGCTCTTCACGGCAGCGGTGGCGGCGTGCAAGCATGGCCTTTCCGTCCACGCGCGGGGCTGCGGGAGCTCCTCCAACGCCACAGTCGAGGTAGAGGACGCAATGATGTCGTTCCTTTGCGCCATCGGCGACACGGTCGTGACGGCTCCTCCCACCGACGTGGTGCGCCTCCAAGGCGCGTATCTCATCCTGGTGGAGATGCCAGGAGTGGCGAGCAGCGACGTATCAATCAAGGTGGAAGCAGTAGAGGGCTCTCATCTTCTCTCCATCGCTGGCGTCTCCCACGACCAGGAGCCAGCCGAGTTCTCCGTCCGTGATCGCGGTGCTTTCACCAAGCTGTTCGCTCGCAAGTTCGTCCTCCCCGGGCACGCCGACGCGGCCAGGATCAGCCACCGGATTGAGAATGGTGTCTTGCGGGTGACGGTGCCGCTTGTTCCAGGATCCGAGCTAGTACAAGACTTGGTGGAGCTGGAGCCTCGGAGTGATGAGGATCATTCCACGGCTCGTGGGCTGCGAGCTCCGTCCATGGACTACACCATCGAAAACGCTGATCGACTCGTCCGACCAGAAGCTCTCGTTGCCACCAAAGTTGGTGCTTGCGTCCATGAGCCGAGCGTGATCACAGTGTCGCCACTGGTGGACATCTTGGAGCTCCCGGATTCGTACGTGATCGTCGCGGAGATGCCTGGCGCGCAGTCGGCTCAGGTGGAAGTCACTTGCTCGTCCGGGGGAGGAGGAAAAGATGGCGAAGAAGCAGCAGCAGCAGCTCGGGAGATCCGGGGCATGATGGAGCGCGACGGGTTCTTGAAGCTGATGGGAGAAGCGCAAGGGACTGGTTGCATCGCATCCATAGCCGGCGTTGCTCGGGACGAGGATGGCGGCCACGCAGTGAGGCTGGAGCGCGGAGGAGCGAGCACCAAAGTGTTTGCTCGCAGGCTTTACTTCCCTCTCAGGTATGTGGAGGACAGGGCGAGCTACAACTTGACTGGCGATGGCTTGCTGAGGGTGGCACTGCCCAAGCGAGTTCCCAGCCTCTGGGAATCGGTGATGGAGTTTTGGCACAAGGATGTTTGTGACTACCTGGCATCACGATGTAGCTGGGACTGTGCTCTTCTTTCGCTATGTAGATCGTATCGCTATATACGTTGATTCGATCCTATCCTGTGAAGTTGTATGCTTTCAAGTGGTCTTGAATCTGTCACAATGGGGCGGTCTGCAAGGGAAAGCCTGCCACAGTGTAAGTTGCATCATCCTTGTCACAATCTCCAATTAAAAAAATTAGAAACCGGTTGCGACTAACCTCAGTCTCCCGCTGAGCGGCATTGAAATGGTCATTTGGTAACGAAGAGATGTCACTCCAAGAACAGGTTTGGAGCTCGCGGCTTTGGCTTTCTATACCCAACAAACGTCAATCACTGCTCGCAGCAAAGGAAGAGCAACATACCTTCCCATGACCGGAAAAACGATCGACGTGCCTGCTTCCACGATTCATCGTATATCTGCGGCGTCTTGTCAGATTCCTGCAAAGGCCAAAGAAACGAAAAGGTGAGATAGAAAACATCTAGAGACCTCGTCATCACTTCCCGCAAAGGAAAAAGAGAAATAAACAACATACCTTCAGTGTCTGTCTCTTGTGAGCGCTTTCTCCTTCCACGATTCATGGTATATCTGCGGCGTCTGTGTCACAATCCTGCAAATGGCCAAACAAACCAGAAGATGAGATAGAAAACATATAGAGCAACAACTTACCTCGTTATCGCTTTCATCTGTGCTAAATACACAAGGCCTTTTCACCCGCGGCTCCCTGAACTCCACCCTTAGCAGGCCCATGTATCGATTCCTTATAGTAACCAGCGGATCCTTTACTCGTGTCACGGACACCCGATCGTTCTCCCGGTAAGCTTCGCGGAGAAACGCCATCTGGCGTGAGTTGCTCTCTGAGACGTAGAAAAACCGTGGGTGACTCGCAAGCAGAGCGTCTGAGTACTCTGGCAGCCGCAACTCCTGCTTGAATCCTTTGAACTTTGCAAGAGATGCTCTCTTCTCGATCGTGAGGCTGAGTAGCTCGTGAAAGACTGCCAGGAGTCTCTTCTCTCCAGACAGACTGCTTGGATCTGCCGAGTTGCCGGGGTCTTCGTAAGGTGACGGCATTGGAAGTCTTTGGAACTTGTCGAATTCCTCCCAGAAAATCCTGTCCGCCTCGAACTTCTTTGGAAACGTACTCACGAACGCCCAAGGGCCGAGAATTCTTTGCGTTCTTCCTGCCTCCACAGCCCTTTCTCTGTCAGTCACGGCTAGCGACTGATCCCACGAAACGAGCTCCACCATTCTGGATCCCCCGACTAGCCGGAAATCCTCCGGATACCTCCGGAGAAACCCATCAAAATCCACAGGGAAGGCACACTCCTTGCTCAAGTTCTTGAGGGGAGTCACTGGCGCCCTGCGATCCTTGCACATCATCAAGATTTTCTTCACGATGGACACCGAGAGCTTCTCATCCCTGTCACGGATCGCCTGCCTCTCGGCCTCCATGATCTCTTGCATGAAATCCCTGAGCTCGATCCACTCCTGGGTCCTGTGGTGCTTGTACGTGAGCTTAAACACCGCGGCGTGCTTGCGAAGGAGCTTGCTCATCCTCCTCTTGCTCACCTCGTCCATCTCCGCCGGCATTCTCTTGATGTCGATCCTCCCGCCCTGGCTCTGGACGAATTCCATGGCTCTGGGGATCTCCGAGTAGATCAGCTCGTCCCACCGCACCACACGATCCAGGTAGAGGCTCTTGCGCCATACCTGTAGCGCCTTGCGCTTCCACCGCGCGTGGAGCTCTCGCGTCTCGCCGGGAATCCATCGCTGCATCGTCCAAACCCTAGGAGGTAGCGCATGAGCTTGGATCGAAGATTTCTCGCGACGATCACCCGAAATATCAAGAGCCTGGCAGAATGCCGCGCCGCTCACGCCAAGATCATCGAGAATGGCTTCCGCGACGACACCTATCTCACCAATCTCCTGCTCCTCAGCTACGGCAAATGCGGCAGCGTGGAGAATGCCTGGAAGACCTTCCACCGGATGAGATCTCGCAACGTCTTCACCTGGAACAACATGATCACTGGATGCATCCACGGCGGCGCCATCCAGGACGCCAAGAATCTCTTCTTTCTTGTGCCGGGGACGGACATCGTGCTGTGGAACGCGCTCTTGACGGCATTTGCCTACACTGGGAATCCGGAGGAGGCGAAATCTCTCTTCGATGCCATGCCCCAGAAGGACGATATCACCTGGAATATCATGATCCGAGCCTACGCCCTGGGCGGCCTCCTCCACGAATCCAGACGCTTTCTCGATCGAATGCCCTTCTGGGGAATCATCTCCTGGACGACGATCTTCAAAGAATACGCGCTGGGAGGGCATCTGGAAGCCGCAAAGGCGATCTTCGACGCAATGCCGGAGAAGGACGACATCGCCTGGACGCTGATGCTCCACGGCTACCTGCGCCACGGCCAGATCGATCAAGGCAAGATCGTCTTCGACTCGATGAAGAACCGCGATCTCCTGTCCTACACTGCCCTTGCATCCGCCTACGCGCAAGGCGGCCGGATCGAAGAGGCGCAATCGATCTTCTACCGGCAGCCCCAATTCGACATCGTCTCCTGGACCGCCATGACCCAAGCCATGGCCAAGAGCCCTTCCTCCCTCCCGGACGCCAAAGCCCTCTTCGATTCCACGCCGTTGGATCGCTGCGTTGTATCCTGGACGTCCATGCTCCAGAGCTACATTCAAAATTCCCGCCTCGAGGAGGCCAAGGCCGTGTTTGCGCGAATGAGCGGCTGGGATGTGGTGAGCTGGACGGCCATGATCGTCGGATACGCGGAGAATGGCCATTACCACGAGGCCCAGCGAATGTTCTCGTCCAACCCGGAAAGAAGGAACGTTTACTCCTACACTGCGATGCTAACGGCCGCATCTAGAGAAGGGGATCTGGAAGATGCCAAGAGGATATTCGCGACCATGCCTGGCAAGAATCTCGTCACCTGGAATGCCATGTACACAGCATATGCCCAGAACGGGGATATTCCCTTGGCCAAGGACTTGTTTGAGAAGATACCCGAGAGGAATCTCGTGTCATGGAACATCATGATATTTGTCTATGGTGAGGTTGGAAACGTTGAGAAAGCTAGGCTTTACTTCGATGATACTCCGGAGAGGAATATAATCTCTTGGAATCTTATGATCGCGGCATATGCCCACAAGGGGTATCCGCAAGAGGCCCATGGAATCTTTCACGACATGGTTCTTCATGGCTCTCGCATTGACGAGATGACGTTTTCGAGTGTTTTGGTGGCTTGCAGCCACATCGGGCTTGTTCGCGAGGCCCGGAACTATTTCGTTACTCTGATTCTCGATTTTGAGGTGACACCTCTGGTGGAGCACTACTGCTGCTTGGTTGATGCGCTCGGCCGCGCTGGGAAGCTCCAAACTGCGGAAGATTTGATCGATTCCATGCCATTTTCGCCCAGTGATGTTGCGCTAGCAAGCCTGGTGAGCGCGTCGAGGATTTACAACGATCCCATTCGCGAAGCTCGAGCTGCGATGGTTCTCCTGGACGTGGATTCCAACGATTCTTCGGCTTATCTTTCGCTCTCCAGAGTTTTTGCTAGCGATGGCAGCTAAGTTCTTGATATTCTCTTTTCTTGGGATTCTAGGGAGGAGCTTATCAAGAGTTGCGATGAGGGCGAATGAGATTGATGCGGCAACGGTTTCATGGCAGGGATTGCGACACATTTCTCTCCAATCGCCTCATCGAGATTGTATCGGGAGCCCAGAGCGCGCGCGAAATCTTCGTCTCCATCCGAGTTCATCCTCTCCAGGCACGCCGATGCAGCCAGGACTTCCCCGTTCTTGACACGATAAAATTCAAGGAGCTGATTCGCAGATTCGCTCATCGACCTCGCAGGCAAGGCGGTGGCGACGCAGCCGATCTGGTGGTAGCAACAGGGGATGGCAGAACAAGATGAGCTTCATTTTGCGAGCTGGATGTCAATACTGTGGTGTGCCGTGTAGGCCTGGTGGGCGAACTAGGATTTATTCTTGGGTAGAATGCATAATACAGCACTCCCCCTTATTTAGGGTGGGCCCCGTTTGCCACCTCATACATGCCACCTCATTACTGTAAATTAAAGATTGTTCTAGTATATTATTTTCAACTATTTTTAAGTATTTAAAAGTACAAAATCAAATATATTATTTATTCTACTATAACAGCATTATCTTGATTGTATAGCTTAATATGACTGCATAGAATATTAAATGCAGCTTCCTTTCTTTCAATATATATTTTTCGCCAAATATATTCTTGAAAGTAAAAGCTATATAATTCTTTTGTTGTACCATAGCAAGGAAGGGATTTTTTCACTGCATTCCATATTAATTCAATACAATTTGTATGAATTCCAATCATGGGATCAACAAAATTCTGAGAGTGGTTGACTGTATGATGAGTGAAGTTCAATTGATTCAACCACTCTGAAACATAACCAGCCCAACAATCACTATATATAATTGTTCCTAAAAAAATTAATTATAATTATTAGTTAAGAATAATAATAGAAATAGAACTTACTTGGTTCAACATATGTATATAATATATCAGTTAAAGTTTGTGTAGTACAATTGGCCACTGGAACCATAGACATTCAATCTGAATCACGTTCAATTCCTCCAAAGACCCATTGACCTTCTACTCTTCTACCAATATTATATTTCCACTTACCAAACTTACTTTCATTAATTTCCACAATTCTTCCTGGACCATTAATCTTTTGACTACCTTGTTGTAATGTGATAACACAAATATCACGACAAAAGTTATACCAATTTGTTGTTGTATGCTCACTTTAAATACTACACTCAATACGAGCTTGATCTTGTGGCATTTTAATGCACCAACAATACATCATTCTAAGCATTTGAGCAAATGTGAGATTACTATTTGCAAACCATGTATTAGTTCTAAGAGATCTTGTGGTATTGCAATTTTTACAATTCCACTTTAAACCATCTTTACAACCTTGATTATCAGATCGATATCTCATTGGTCGATGACATCTTTCATATTCTCTCTCTTGTGGAAGAAGACCAACCATAATACAAAAACTAAAAGAATTTACTTTACTATTAGTTCTATCAATAAGATCAGAAAAAGAAAGAATACTATCTTGAGCATGATCTACATATTCCAATCTAGCCATAATACTAAAGAGAATGAATAAAATAAGAAAGAAAATATAAGGAGCACAAACATAAAACACAATGAGGAAAAACCTAAACCAATTGTAGGTTATATACTTATAAATTATAGCCATTCATTCACTGGCTAATTATAAAATTATAGTCGTTAACATATCCATTAATAACATCTACTAATTAAAGTTTAAAGTTACTAATTTAGAGTTAGTTGTTAAACATTTAAGGTGCAGAGCTGGGCGTGACTAAGCGCACCACAGAGGAAGCGAGGAGTCAGCGTGGCAAAGGGGCAACCACGTAAGAGTGAGGGGTGTTGTATTGTGCATTTCTTACTTATTCTTTTGAAGGGAATTTGAGAGAGGGCCAGATTGCACTCAAGAAAACTTGCTGCAAGTGCCAAGTTGCAAGTTGCAAACCAGCAAAGTTCTCTGAGAGAATAATAAATAATTAAGTTCTAATATTTGGTTAGTTTTAATAGATCAAATATGCTATTAAATATGCTTAGAAAATTAAATAATTTTTAATTAATATATAATTTTAAGAAAATGTATATGGATAAATAAATTAATAACCTAAGTAAAGTTGTTACTACCTTGAATGGGCAATCTAGCCTAACAAATGCATTTTCAGGATAATGACCATACATAAACTTTTAACAAATATTTATATACTAGTTTGAGTTCATTAAAATAGTTAAATGTGATATATTTAGTTGAATAATTAAATAAGTGTTTAACACGTTCATGTTTTTAAAAATATTTAATATTTTAATAATGTTCCAGAGATGCCTTGAGGTAATGGTAATAATGATGGGAATGTATTAAAGTAAACATTACGTGATGAAATAATGTTGAATGAAAGATTTCATGTAAGGGAAGATATAAAAATGTTGGGTGGATGAGGTTTTTACATATATCCTAAAGATAAATCCATCCCTTTCTTAACAAGTTTAGGTTTAAGATAGGAAAGGGATTTTGTTTTACCTTTTTAAAACACATGGTCTGCTCTCATTCGATTCTATCCATCTGTCGCAAATGTGATTTCAGGTATCAAAAGATATTTGTCAATCAGTCCTTATGGACACTCTTTCCTTACTGTCGTAAAGGCAGGAGGTTGGTACAGTTGGATCCCTTTGGTAGCCCCTCTTGTGCTAGTAGAGTTAATTGGGGATTTTAAGTGTACTTAGCCAGATGAGCATAAGGATGGAATTCCTACATGTTATTAGTTAAGCATACTTAGCCTGGTAAGGAGTTCCCATCTCGTTATATCTTGCATTGGCTAATGACAAGAACCTTTGCGTATTGAGATTACAATATCACTGGATGATAGCTTACCATGTTTGCCAAACACCCTCACTATCATGCCCTTTATATTAATTTTATTTCAGTCTTAAATGCTAATTATGAAAAATGTCTAGATTTGCTCATTTGACATATCTACAAAATGTAGAGATTGTCTTGAACACAATGATGTTCATCCTGTGTCCAAATTCACAATCTAGGGATATTTCATATTTAATAAGTTTCAAGTTTGTCCCAGAGACTAAGTTATGGTACTAAGGGAGGCATGGGGTGAAAGCCCAAAGCTTATGTTCTTCGAGGGGGGACTATCTCCAAATGTATAGTAGAGATAGTGGTTGGAATGCATGTCTGACTAGCTGAGATATTAGTTTGGCTCTCATTGGGCTATGTCACCTTGCTGTAAGCTGCTCCCTAGCAGACATATTAGCTGTTTTGCTCTCTTTTCGATCAATCGTGAGGCTGAGAAACTCGTCAAAGATTATGTAGCACATGTGGCTTTGACCCTTTATCCTACGGTGATTTACCATAGGATAACACCTCAAAGCAAACCCTCTTTATACCATGTGATACATGCCACGTGTCATATGCCACGTGTCCAAAAGACAGTGGTGCGGAACTGGAGGTTCAGGGCCTTAGGCCACTGAACGAAGGAACAATGCTAAACTCCCAAGCATGGAGCTAAGGAGTGACGGAACCGGACCACGGAGCAACTCCCTAGCATAAAACCCAAGGAGCGAAGGGACAGGACCTTGGAGCGATTTAGAACAGTCCTAGAGCAACTAACATCCCAATACCAGGACCAGTACGGAAAACGGAGTTAAATAGAGTCTAGTGCTATTTCGGCATACTAGTGGCCTAACGTGAGGATATGGGTACTCCACTAGCTAGCATGGTATGGAACTTGGGCTTAGACCCAAGCCGGACGCAGAACAAGAACAGGCACGCAAGCGAGAAGAACAATAACAAATATATCATCAAGGAACTCAATGATGAAATTTAACTATTGAAGATGGTAGATAGTATGTCAAACAACTTACCAAAGATAACTCAAAGAACATAAAATATTATTGACTAGTAAACAAGATGCTTGCGAATGTATCATTTGAAGGAAATAACATCCCAATATATCAGAACTAACTCGAGCAACAATCAACAGAACAGAATAAATGTGGTAAGACTAACAAACACTCATTCATGGCAATTATCACACTAGTCAATTTAAATAGATCCCAGTCAATAATACCAAGGAACAAGAGTTGCTCAAGCAAGCATTAGTGATGTCTCAAACCCAAGAGACCAATTTAAAGCAAACCACAAAGAACATGTGGTATTGTGAGAAACCATAAGCCATCAAAGAGAACAACTAACCACCATGAAAAATCATCAATCATTCTATCAATAGAGAAATGTATAATCATTATTGGAGAAAGAATGCATCATCCCGAAGAACAACAA